TTCATTTCTGAACGATACTTTCGTAATTGTAATAAGTGCACTCCAGTAGCCGAGTGCGTAAAATCACTAAACACTGGTAGTTAGTTAGTCGTAGGTTCGAGCATAGCCAACGGGCCGGTTACGTGAAGTTTTTCCGCTTTTCTTTACGTTAATAACACCTAAATAAGGGCCAACTCGACATAAAAGTCTTCCCGGGATGCATCCCCGGGCAAATCGCTCGAGTGCCACGTTGCCGTGATCAAATAAACCAAACTATTTCTAATAATTTTTCTACCAAGGCGATATTTACCAGGACACTTCTTAAGCAGTTTATACAATCCGTTACAAAAATGTAAACACTTTATTATGGCATAAAAGCGATTATTCTCATATTTTTACACGTTTTTATTTAAACGAGTCGTACTAAGTCTTTGAACGTTAAGGTTAGCGACGGCCATCTTAGCATTAGAAAAAATTTAAGATATTTTATTTTAAATTCCTGTCTACTCGACCGTTGAAATCGTGCCATTTCGTAGTACCGTCCGAGTATGGGATAAACGCGACAATGGCGAGCCGAAATAGCCAAACTCTTCTTGCGGTTTTCGTTTTAATGTTTGTGTTACCGCTAAAGCTCGAAATTTGTTAATGTGCGCATTACCTAGCTAATCTGCAGATTAACTAGGATGATCCGTTAAAGCTGCGAAAATTATTCCATTTCTCAAATTACCTAGGTAATGTTCAGATTATCTAGGTAATCTGCAAATTACCTACTAGGCACTCGGTAAAGTGAAAATAAGATTTTTGCTGCAACAACAGCAACGTTTCTGTACGCTTAAATTAACATAACGTTATTTATTTAATTTTCAATATCTAAAGAATCCAGTTAATACAATCAACAAATTAGTCGATTGAATCAATCATCTATCAATTAAAAAAACTTTAATACAAAAATCAAACGGTTTAAAATATTACTACAATTAGGGAAATGAATTTGCAAAACATATGATAAAATTGTACTTACTTATTAGTGCAATCTAAAGATTGGTGACACTTTGAATTACGTAGCAATTGGTTTTTGCCACAAGCACGCCTATTAGTGGTACATTTAGATTTGCAGTCACATTTTCTGAAACCCTGCCCAGTACCAAGGGATTGTTTTATTGCTGTTTGACGTAAAGATATTTCTACAGCAGGGACATCCATCTTCTTTCGTTAAAAATCTCTCT